TGTTGGGTGTGTTTAATCCAGGTGGAGTGACTTTGGGTGGCGTTTGGGGAAATTAGCTTGAAGAATGCTGAAACCTAGCTGAAATTGTCAGCGTAAATATGCCATGTGGTGAATTTGTGGTGGTTTCTCAACGGGCTCATTTATTTTGGTATGAGTGGTTGTTTTATACATTTACTTGTTTACATGTGCAAGGTACCAGTACATATATTTTGCATCTGGGTTGTAGCGTGTAGTCTTGCAGTATTTTTAGTATCTGCTACAAATGTTAATAATGAACATCTTTCATCTCCCTGCTTGTGAAAATTTAACGTCTTTGTGACAAATGTACATATATGTCGTTTCGTCATGAAATTGGTGTTTGAACATAAAATATCAGTGGCAAAAAATTTATCATTTTAAGTGGCAAAATTATCATGTTGAGAAAAAACACACAAACAAAAAACAAACAAAAAACTGTAAAAAGTTCTTTCAAAATCATGTGCAGAGATTTTTGCCAATTGTGATGGCTTAAAATGTGTTCTTTCCCTCAGAAGGTTTAGTGGAAAATATGTGATCTTGGGCACACACATAAAATATTTTTTCTTTTTCTCAAAAGGATTATAAAAAATTTGAGTGAGATTATTCCATTTTCCCAATTTACGTCCTTAATCATGACATAGGTAAACAATGAAACAGTCTTCGAAAAAAGAGAATTTTCCCATTCTACGACAGACTTTTTTGCATCGTTTAGCTATGGTACATCAGTTTTTTATACACTTCCTTCCCGGAGTCTCTCATTTCCTGGGGTCTCGAATCACAATGGCCCACGAAAAGGTAGCAGGATCTAGGGTCGATTACTGCTGTCATAGGGTAACTGTGTACATGTAGACATTGCCAGTCAAATATCAGGCGGCATTTTTCCCTTGAGGCACTGCGGAGGCTTGGAACGAAAAGTAATTTGAAGACGGAAATCTTTTTTAACCATCTCGGGAAGAAATATTCATTGAATTTCTAATTAAGCCAGTGTTTGAATTCTGATCGGAAAGCCCCAGTCATCTGATCAGCTTGTCATATGGGCTGTTAAAGCAAAAGGCACCAGGAACGTTGCTTGGCATACATGTAAATGTATAATCCAGTGGATAACGCAGGGGTGGAATAAGCAGTGTCTGCTTATTTCTATGATATCCATGATCCACCTACTCGGATAAGTTTTGAAAGCTAATGCTGTAAACTGCTTTCTCTAAGACAGTGGGATTCTTCTTCTTGGGGTTCACTGACCTGTGTGACAGAGTTCCCAAACATGGAGAATCTGATTACGTCCCATTTAAACTGGGGTATTACAGAGGACCATTAAGATGTACATACATGTATATGTACGTGTAGCTTGTGTATTATACATGTAATATATGTAGATCCAGGAATTTACTTACGTGTACTGTACTATGAAAATATTGTAACTACTCCAACCCGCCCAAGAAACTAGGTGTATGCCATGGAATTTTCATTGATTTGGCTGAAGGCTACCTGTGATTTTAATCTTACATTTTAGAAAAAAAGGTGAAATGTTCTTGCTTGTGGTCTTTCAACCTTGACTGCTGCCCCACACTACCCTCAGAAACTAACACCTCCAGTAAATTTTCATCTTCAAATTCCTGTAGAATTTAATTTTACCAAGTTAAAAAAAAAAGGTGTCTCTAAGTTTCGAGCTTGGGTCATGTCATTTGGTGATATGAGTTTCCTAATAGGAAGTCTTTTGGGCTTCTTTCTCACAACTGAATAATCATTGGGTTGCATTTCCAATAATTCTTGAAGTTCAGTTTCAGAATGCATTATGAATAACATACACTACATGCACATCATTCCATTCATCCGCCGTAAGTTTTTCTTCCCATGCGTAGGAAGCTGTTAATATTTGCAGAGTTGTTATGATTAAACCACAGTTGACAAAAGTGTGGACCTGCAGAGCACCATCCTGTACAAAGAGAGAAGAAAGAAAAACTTTGCTGTCCCACGTCCCTAAGCGTGGTAGGAATTTGGCAACTTTTAGAGGCGTGTAACTCTTGTCAAAACTTATGCAAACCTATAGTACCAAGTTGGACACTTACACACAAAAGTTGATGAATTTTAATCACCCACTCTTCATTAGGATATCAGGTATGGAAGTTGGTCACAGAGGAGGATGTAAGCATCGAGCAGAATTAAATTCAAAAGAGTGTGGTGCATTGAGTATTTCACCCACACAGATAATATGTTTGGAATAATTGACAGAGAAAAGTTGAAAGGAGTGAAGTTTTATCTGTGAGGAGAACCACCGGTCATCTCATCCCTTGTGGAAGTTGTTTTGATTCTGTAGGGAATATGGGGGTGTTGAGACTAAAAGCTAAACCAGAATTAAAGATTCATACAAGGATTTGCATCAGCTGAGGGGCCTTTTGTCAGTGGACATGTAGGATATTGCCACTATCAGAGACGGTGGATGCATTGTGAGTTTGTGAAAGCAGCCACTTGTGAACCTGCATCTCAAGGGAGATGGGAACAAATGAGAGATCTTTCTCAGTCCATAACATTAGCCAAAGCTGTCTTCTTGTATGAAAGCTTGCCATGATTGCCTCTTCTTAGGAGTTGAAGTGCTGCAGATGAGATGAAGCCCATTGTCAACAGCACTGTAGCTGTTAGTACTCAGTTGGTGTACTGAAAAGGAAACATCTTCAGTTTTCTTGTCATCAACTTTAAAAGAATCTCTGCCATTTCCTGACACTACGGTTACTTACATTCGCCTTCACTCTTCTCTTTAAATTTTGAGGAAATTTTGCTTCCAGTCCATCTCCACATGAGATGGCAATGATTGAGCTGTGGTCAGGTCCATCACAAGTTCCCCTCAGTTCAAATGCAAGTCAACCAGTCTAATGTCTAATGACAAGTGGCATCAAATAAACCATAACCAAGCCATTCCTTTCCCTCCATTCATTCCTTCTTTATGAGTTACTTGTGACATGGCTTATGATTGAATAGTTTTCAGATTTATTGATGTGGGCCTTGTTTTTGAGAACTACATGCACAATACATAGGCCCCCTCTGGAATAGCATTTTTAATTTCAGTTTTACAAGTTGCACTGGTGTAAAGATAACTTGTAAATCTTGGTCCCTTGTCTAGTTTCATCCAGACACCGGTATCTACATGTAGTCTCATCCATATACCGGTACTGTCGCAATTCCCAAAGCCAAGTCCAAAATATATTCGACCGGTTCCTTTTTAGCACTGCTTTGCTCTGGAATTCTGTTTCTTTCCCTGGTTATCCAGAGACCTAACCTTACAATGTAGACACGTGCATGTACATGCATCCTTCACATTGAACATGACATACCACCTTTTTCTCTTTTCTTGCCATCTTTTCCTGTAGCCCGTACCTTGAACGATCACTGAGAAACAAAGAGTAATAGTGTGACTGTAACTTTAAGGTACCGGTGATATTAGGCTTATTTTGTCATACCTCGTACCAGTACATGCTCCAGGTTGTTGGTCACCTTGCCATTTCTTACAGGTATTTCAGCGTTTTGTGCCATCTTTTTAAAAATTGACTTCTGCCCTTGAGTCTGAACTTCCCGTTGTCATGCTGGGCAGGCTTAATTCTAATATTTGATGATTTCACAAGCAGGTACAGTACCCCGGTAGTTTGTGGCCCTCATTGCCAAGAAATTGGGCTTGGGCAGTGCCTTTGGGCCTGACCAAGTCCCATGGTGGGCTCAGTCAAGCTAAACTGAATGCACTGACTGATATTTTCTTCCAGTGTTTTATTGCCAACAGAATGCTTGGAGACAGTGTTTTTGAGGCAATAACCTCTGGGGAGCTGGCCGTAATGCATAGAGTTGTCAGCTGAAACAAGAAAGTGAAATCCTCCTTTGTTACTTTGCATATAGATAGTTGTTATTGCTGTGGGGATGTGTTTCTACATTAAGTGCAGCTCCTAGTACATGTCATCTTGTGCTTTGATGCATTCTGTCTCATGCATGTACATGTACATGTATGCCCCTCATGTTTGCCTGGCTACTCTGTAATATAGCAATTGATGAAAGATAAATCTTAATCCGTCTGCTGTATTGGATTGTGATACAAAGTGATATGGGAAAGTAGTACAATTTAACATGGTTCAAGTCTGTTCACGGTATCGTTGTACATGTATCTTGTGCAGGTTTAGTTTGTTTTTGATTTTATTTTGTTCGCTATTTTGTTTTCTATGGGTTTTTGTTTTTTGTTTTGTCTTGTTTGGTTTCATACAAAAATGGCATTAATTAAGATTATGTATTTTTGACTGGATTTGGAATAATTAAATGCAAATAGCCTGTTATTCATAAATGTAGCCAAATGCAGTGACTCATAGTTGAAACCGTCTAAATTGACATCTTTGTTCCATTGATTGGTACAGCAGAAATGCATTATGTTAGCCATGTGTGTACATCTGTAGATGTTCCAACCGGGGTCATACACTGGTACAAATATGTGTGAAGTCAACTTTAAGGATGTTCATCTCGGTAATACTTGTTCTAACCAGTGGTGTCACTTGTTCTAGCCGCAGTATTGACTGGAAATGGCTAAAGAAAAGCTTTTGTTTTGCAATTTTGTTACTGGAAGTTTATTTTAAATCATTCAATGTTTTGAATCGGTCTAGAAGGCGTTTCACTGGGTTCATCTCCAGAACTGGCTGAAGGAATTTCATTTTCATAATGACATTGCTATTCTTCCGTAAACCAGTTCAGTACAATGGATGCACCAAATGAAGTCTGTTGGTGTGTGCTTGACATTGGCATAGCGGTACATGTACATGAATGCTGGCACTGAGCACGCTCCAGCTGGCATTATGTACATCAATGCAAGGTGCTTTGTATTGGAATGACTTTGCCTTCATGAAATTCTGAATTGATTCATTCAATTTTGAATGGTAGAGATGCATTTCATGTTACACCCCCCCCCCGATGTTCTCATTTTTCAACCAGTAGTTACTTTTTGTTTGTTTTCAACACAGATGCAGAAACATTGACTGGCACCATGTACTACCAGCCACAACCGTTATAATTACATACCATAATGAAGCTAGGTCAACATTACTACGAACAGTTGTCAGGTAAGAGTTGAGTGAAAGTAATACATATCGGGGCCGACGGTTAGTCTTGGTTCAAGCCATTCTGCTGTCAAGTCATTGACTCTCAGGGCTTCCATGAACCGCTGTCACCAGAAACCACCATCACCTGTAAGGATACATAGGTGACAATCATCCTATTATGGCATACATGTACATGTATGTCATACCAGACTAAAAGAGTACTTCATATTGAAAGCAACCACCAACATCCAGATGTTAGTGTGGTTTGGATTTTGTAAATATCGATTTGATCAGTGTTGTTCTTCCTGTACAGAACCTTGTCCAGGAAGGAAGACTGTAAGATAAGACCTTGTTATGTTCTAGAAATTGTCAGCTTATGGTCAGGTTACAGGTATGGTCTGGTAACACTTCGGAATGGGTTCAGATACCTTCACACAATCCCCTCGCCACCTCAAAGCCCATTTTACCTGAACCTACATTGTGGTTATAATCACAAAGTCACTGTGTACATACTTGTATGTGTGTGCGTATGTGCTGTTTGTGTTTATGTAGAAAGATGATGCTTCCTCCAAAGGCTTCATGGTATGAATGTTGCATCAAAGCTTCTTTACTTCCTGTTTTTTTTTCTGGTAAATCTATTCCTCTGAACAAAACGAACAAAGTGAGACACTTGGGGTTATTCTTTCACAAATATTCTAGTGGAATACCTCATCTTGTTTCGTTGTTCTTTTGATGTCGCGTTAGGTCATTTTCCCTGTACATTTAACCACTTGACGCTGGATGACGTGTGCACACGTAATTTTCCTTATTTGCGTCACGGAGGACATGTACACTTGTTAAAGAATTCTTTCTTCATTTCCGCTGTTGACATATTAACGCGTTGTGCTTGGTTGGGTCAAAGTGCAGTGGCAAGGTTGAAGAATTTACAGGTAAATAAACCTGCCCCCAGCAGCTTTTTGGGTAAGAAAATCCGACGTTAACTGGTTAAGAGGTTTGTTGTGCAAAACATGATCCTGGAAAAAAGCGTATTGAAGACGGTTGCATATAAGGTTTGCTCAATGACAGGGTATTGTGTAGTAAACTAACAATGGATTGCCAACAAATGAGTAACGACTTCAACATTCTGGTAACTCTTTGGTGTTGAAGTAGGGATAATCACGAAATGTTCTGCCTAAGATCTCATCACTGTCTTGCTCATGAATACGAACAATTGCATCAGCATACAAAAGTGCTGTAACTTTCTGAAGTAAATTAAACAAGAACATTCAAGTGTTGCATTAGATGTTGTTTAAGTATTATATCTATTCTCTACAAGCTACATGTACAGGTAATATGGTGCCAGTATTCTCCTTCTAAAGACGAACAGAGCATACTGTTCAGAACGTCGAGTGTCCACCGGTTCTTCTCAGAACCACACACTCATAAAGAGATGTTTTCTTGTACATTGTGCAACCGCAAGCCTATCTAATGTAGCCAATATTCTTATTCTTTGCTTTTCCAAAATTTTGGAAAATTTGAAGTAGGATAATGATCCATCTCACCAGCTCAGGGGCATCATGAGGTTAATACAGTGTACATGTAAGTAGGCACACGGGTATAAGAATGTACCCCTGCATCATGAACAGTACCCCCTAGTGCAAAATGTCATCAATTCCGCCCCGTCCTTCTACATGTTCATGAATTTCATATTTCCCAGGCAGAGCAATTTCAGCATTTTGGTCATCCTCCATCCCTCTCCATCACTTCCATGTACCAGATTGGAGACATCACTGCGCTAGGGGATCCAGATCAGAAGATAAGGAGGTTGGATCGAAGGGGGGGGGACACTCCAAACAAATGACATACCAGTACATTCATAACAAATCAAACAGCATGGAAAATTGGCTCACAGAGAAATATTCCGGCAAGAAATTTCCACCTGAGAAAATTTGGCAAAACTTGAACAGGGAGAGCATTTTGGGTACATTTTACATGTACATGTACTTATGCATGAACCATATAGGCACTGCGCCCATACATACATGTACATGTATTGTACATACATGTGTACACCCATGTAAAGACACTCTTTTTTCCACCAGGAGTCCTAGGGAATGCACACTTTAGTTAATTTATTGTTTTCTGTGTCCACCGTGTAGATTACACATTAAACTATACATTTATTGTATGCATAATATTAAAAATGGATAGATTGGCGGGCATTGTCACGTACATGTAATAGGATTTTGCTGTATGCCTTCAGAAGAACTTGCACACATGCATGATCTTGATACCCCCCACAGGGGAGGTGACTGGTAGGGCTTGAGTTGACATCATGCCCTCCTGGGAGATTTACCCAGCCTGCAAGTATGTCTCACACACCCCCTTTGTTGGCTCATGTTGACTGTACCCTGACAGATTATTATGCCTGTCACCTGTCTTGTGTTGATTCCACCTGTCTGAAGTAACATACTGCAGCCTGAGCAATTTCCGAAGAACAACATAGATGACCTCTTTTTTCAGTGACCAACAATGCAAGTTGTACTCCGTTATCTCATGGGGCTGTTTTGTGTTGGTATTGCCGCTGACACTGAGTATAGTAAATGTACTCAAAATGATATTCTTGTATTCCCGCTGTCTGTTCCTCTGTAGATAGATGTCGATGTGGCAGCCCGTGTAGTTCAGGTCACTGTTTTCATTCCAAGCAAAGCAGAATGTACAGATATATTCTTTTAGGATATACAATAACAGCAAAGAGGATACGGGCGAATCACAATGCAATGGGCTACTAAGAGGTTGTCATGGAGAGGCCTTTTCCCAGTGTTTTATGGGATAAATAGTCGACAAAGTCTTATTCGGTAACTGCACTATGCGCAGAAAACTTTAATTTTTTCCGAATGTTTGTTTATCTTTGTTGAAAATTTGTAATTGCTTACTGCTCTACTAAAAACGGCCTATTCAAACCAATTGTTTTTTAATTGGATTTAATTGGAAAGAATTGGGTTCAATTGGCAATCAATTGATGCTCAATTGGGTTCAGTTGTAGTTGTACACGTAGTCAAAATGATGGTTTTGTGTGGTGCAGGGAACCTCAATCAAATATCCCTAAATTACATACGAACTACGCTTAATTGTGGCAGCGTGTCGACCGTGAACCTAAAAAGTGGCCTGTCTGTGCCAAACTCTTGGTGGCGTGCTCTATTGTGAATTGCCTGTATTGCCTTGGTTTCTGTTCGAATAGAGAAAGGATGTGGTCCCACACAGTGGAGGGAAAAGGCTCCTTTCAGGATGTGAGTTGAGCCTAGCTGCGACCAGACCTGGATTCCAGCATTGTAGTTTAGTCTTCAGACTGGCCAAGTCTTGACCCACCACATCAATGGTTGAGGTCACTCTTACAAAGGCTGCCAACGTTCAGTCTTTGTTCATATACTAGTATGTTGTATACTTTGGGAAATGGTTCACAAATATTGACCCTATTTGTTTGAGTGAAACCAAACTTACCTCAGATGTGAGTGGTTTCAGTGAGATGTGAGTAACCAATCGTGTAAACACGAAGCACGGTTAGAATTTAAAATTCTATGTCCAAAAGTACTTACATAGAATCAGTACAAATGAGTCTTTGAAATTTGTTTTGTGTATTTTGTGTGTGGGTGTTGTACTGTTTATTTCAATAATAGTTTTGTTACTTACCCATTAATCTTGGGGGTTTAGTTGCACCAGTGGTACAGTGCATTAGGAAACCTGTCTGATGATGGAACTTCCATTGATTGCCAAAGCAAACAAAACCAAGGAGGATGACATTTAGAAAATGTCAGAAAGCTAACCCTCGCGGTATCTCCATGGCACGCAAGCATGAGCGCCCTTTGATTCATCATTACACTGTCACTTAAAAAAAGATGACATGTCCATTCCCACCAGGATTGTCTTTCTGCAGATATCCTGCATTGACCCAAACCATTCTTGCAGTCATATGTACCGTAACAGACACCGCCCACATGGGGATTAACTTTAATTTAAAACGTTGATGGCTTTCTGAGTAAAACAGCTATAGTCATATTGTTTTTGTTTTGTTTTTTTCAGAATTGACTTTCATATATTCCTCCCCAGCATATTTCTAAACTGTTGTGCATGTATATCAATAAATATGTAACTGGTTTATAAATGAAGACTTACGTGTGGCTGTATTTATGGTTAATGAGAATCTCACAGTTTCTGTTTTGGGTGATTGGCATTATAAAAAGTTCCATGTTGCATGTTTATACATGAGTGCAGAGTGTTCATGCCTTTAATTTTCTCCTAGAAGAAGTTTTCATCATCAGTTATGTGTATGCAGATGTTAGCAAACGAGTACTAGAGTTGATTTAACGGGAATCCCATAACATTTGTTTCATGGTGTTCTTTTTGTTTCAGTGTTCTCAGAAAAAGCCCTCCGGAACTGATAGACGAAATTATTTTAGTTGATGATTACAGCGATGATCGTAAGTAGATGTTGTCTCATAGGAATGTTTAGGGTTGTAATAGCCACGTTGTGTACTTATCGTACGTTATTTCAAGGAATGAGTCAGTGGTTGTTATTGTGAATCTTGTGGTCGTTTGTGGTTGGATGTGGTTAATGTAGAATTATAGTTTCTCTTTGAGCCAAGGATAAGAACGAAATAGGAATGGAACATCCAGTAAACTGTGTAACTCTACACTTTATATGTACATCTATGCCGTCCTTTCCTTATTAATGTGAGTTCAGATATCTTGAAGCATCACATGTACTAATGACTGATATTTCTGTGAAAAAAAGGGTGAAGCTTTTTCAGCTGGGAAATATTTGGGAAATTTTACAGTTAGAATTTGTATTAAATTGTCCTCTACACATTGTGGTCATGTAGATTAACAAAGTTTGAGCATTTGCTTTTAATTGGTTTATGCTGTTAATAATTTTATCTGCATCTTAAAGCATCTTGAAATATCTATACAAGCCCTTTTTATTGTCACAAAAATGAACATGCATCAAATCGAAGGAATATTCAAGATGAAAAATGATGTACAGTGTAGCATTTCATAATTGCACATTTCCCCTCCAGATATAAGAACAGAGGTACTCAAGCATGAGGGCTTGAACGGGTGTGTTTACCTTGCATGAACAGGGGATAGGCACAAGATATTTGACTTTGCTGGGGGCACATCACCAAGTGTTATTTTTTCAGGGCAATATTAAGCCCCTCGCCCCTATGCCTGGGTACACTGCTAAGGTCCCCACGGTGCTCACCCTGTGTTTTCGATACACCCGCCTTACACAAACACTTGATTGGTTGACTGTCACACAGTTCCATCACTCATCCCAGACAGATATTAATTACTAGCCCACGGCAACAACTGCAGACAGGGGCACAGTCCAAGCATACGTGTGCGCGTGTACTTTGCTAGGCGTTTGTCACTAAGCTTGGGTGATTGATCTACCATTTTGCGTGTCTACAAGATTTTCTTTTTTTTACCAATGGGAAAATGTAAAGCTATAAGGAGTTTACCAAAGAGTTGGTATGTATTGTCAAAGATGAAGTTCCACAGAAACTGGCTGTATCTTGTTCTTGTATCTATCTGTTGAGTGACTTGAATTTCAGGTTTTGGGTCGGAATACCAATTACATATGACATCACATAGAATCTGCCTATGTGGAGAATGAGATTTTTGTTGGAATGAGCCAATTTGGTATTCCAACAGTGCATGCCCAGCACGCAGGTATTCAGATCAGCTACTCGCACACGTGATAGTCTGTCCTATCAGGGCAGCTATACACTGGCTCATGTGAACGCTTAGTTCCTGAAAGACCTCGGATTTATGAAATACTGAACGGGCTCATTGTCTGTCAAGTAAAAACGAGAAAGGAATCATTTCTGTGTACTCAACAATTCAGATGTGCACAGTCATTGGCAACGTTTATTCAACAGTAGCATATTCAAACATTTATGCTAAACAAGCACATTGCCAACTTGTCACATATTGTTTTAAACGTGATCTTTTTCCTTGTCTCTTCTCTTTCAGCACAAGACGGGCAACTTTTATTGGGGATTGAAAAAGTAAGGCTGATCAGAAATGAAAGGAGGGAAGGTAATTACAATTTTGTCATGATTAATTACTTTTTTAGACCAGATGATTTTGACACGTTTGCTGGGAACTCACAATCAATTCAGAATCAACACTTTGGAGTAAACCAACAATTTTCAGCAGAATTTTAAGGGATGGATGTGTGCAAAAGGGAACACTGATGCATAATTGTGATGTCAGGTCAAATATTCATGCTGTGGCTTTGTAAAAGTTGAACACATTTCAACTTCAGCAAATTTTGTCCCAGATGGTTTCTGATGTCAAATTCGCTTTACTTTTGCATTTAACTATAGTAGGAACTAGTGCTTCAAAACCACCTCATTGACAAAGAGCTGCTAAGTTGAAGATATTTATGAGTAAATATTTGTGTGAACAAAAATCTGCTGGGAACCAGTCACAAATAACACAGATTGCACATGCATTTTGGCTGATAACCTGAAAAACTTGTCAGTGCTCAGCATATCCATGAAACAAACTTCCCCTGGTATTGTTCTTTTGCATATTTTTGAGATCTTTTGGGTTGTAATGTAATGAGCAGACCCATTACATTTATTGATTTTGTTTTTGAGATTTTTCTTTTGTCCCATTTCCGACTCTTAATTGTATTAAAAACTGTGTGTACATGTACACAAATACATACACATTAGTGTTGATTTTACTGAATATTATTGTGTGCCATGAATCTCAAGATCTGAAACAGAATTCAGGTTTTAACTGCCCACAGTACTTTTTCTGGCTTATATGTTACTTAAAATTTCTACGCTAAAATTTGACAATGTCTTTGACTTTTTTATTTTCACTAGGCTTGATTCGATCCAGAATAAAAGGTGCTGATGCAGCCTCCAGCATGGTGTTAACCTTTCTGGACAGTCACTGTGAATGCAATGAGAATTGGCTGCAGCCCCTGCTGAAGAGAATACAAGAGGTTTGTAGACATTTTGATTGAAGTGAGTGTTTATGAATTTGCTTGACCAAGCTCCCCAGAGGTTCTTTTTGGAAGATTGGGAAAGTATTCTTCAGAGTTCAAAAAATTCCCCTAAAGGTTCTCTGTTCCAAGCTCTTAAAAATTGGCTGGGATTGTAGTTACTATAAAGCTGGGGTGTTCTACTTTCAGTAGACATTGTAGCATTGCTTGATTTTCTTCACTGTTCAAAGTTCAGTCTGTCTTGTGCTGATGAGAAGTTATGTGCAGAAGTTGCTATGCCAGATAAGAATTATTATTATTATATATTTCTGGTAATGACACCAAGGATTCCTCAAAAGCACCCAAGGCACTGTAGCTTGCAAGCCTGAAGAAACCTGTAGAGAGGAGAGAGTGAGAAGCAATGACAGTTTTAGAGGTGGGAGGGAAAACCCCAGAGGAATATTCTTGGTAAAACGTAATCAGGTAGGGACTGAAAACCCAATCCACATGTGGACCGGGCCGGGATTCGAACACGGGCCGCAGAGGTGGTAGGCGAGGAAAGAACCACTATGCCAACCTGAGAATGGTAATTGTCAAGGTTGATTGTGGGGGAGCTGATGTTGGAGATGGAGAAAGTTTACATTGAGGTTAAGGCTGGGGACGGTTGAAGCTGAAGTTGGTGGGGTTTAGGCTGAAGTTGAGGGTGGGGGCAGTTGAGGCTGGAGTTTAGGGTGGGGGTGGTTGAGGCTTAAGTTTAGGGTGGGGTGGTTG